ATATATTATTTTAACGAGTAAACTGAGTTACTTTATTGTTGATTTAATGTAAACTGAAAACTTTCGAGGAATAATAAATAATTTTTTTACCAATTATATTTTATAAGTTCTTGTCAACAAATTACTGCAATTAATTATTTCAAGTAATTTGCCTTTTTTTAATATTTAAAAATTGATCATTGATATATATTCAAATTACTTCAAATAATTCATGCTGTTCACGTTGGTGTAATTCAATATCACGACGCTCATTGGGACCTTCCACGTTCATAAATACAAATGCGCCAATTAACGTATATGCAATTAATATTCCAAGTGGTATCAATGGACGAAGGCCCGTGGTTACGAGTGCGTGAACATTGCGGATCGCTTTTGCTATTGTCATTTTTCACACTTAAATCCAGATACTGAAAAAAAAAACAAAAAATAAACAAAATGGATGTTCTAAACTTCATAAATTATTTTATTTATTATTCCAGTATTTCATTATAATTTTTTGCAAAATGAAAGCTAATTACGATACAGGATTTCATTAACACATAATTATGCTCCATTTAATTAGTGGTAATCGAATTGGAATCAGATTTTTATATTTTTACATTTTTACAGATTTTGACATTAGATTTTTACAATGATAAATTTGAAACATTAATTGTTAATTTAAAAGTTAAATTATTTTGTCGGTTATAACTTTTAAAAGTTTAAAAGTAATTAGTTAATTTCAAATATTTTCAACAAAATTAATGCAAACTTCAAAATTTTGATTTTTTTTGTAATTTGTTTTAGTTTATTTATTGCTCTCAATTATTTACTAATTTTAAATTAGGATGAAAAAAATTTCAATGAAGTGAAAAGATAATAAAACAAATCTCAAATGGTGGAACGAAATAAATTCTACAACAATAAGTTTGTGAAAGATAAAAAAAGAACTTTAGCGTTTAATGAAAGAAAACAACACAAAGTGCTAATTGCTAATTTGAAATCTTCCAACGCACTTACATCGCTTTTGCTTTCCGACAAACATTTCCAGATGAACGGATGGATTTGTTGATTGCTTAGGGGAAAAGGTCAAAATAAAAAGGCAATAAATCACAATAAGAATTTAGCAAAAAATTATCTAACGTATTAAAATTACCCCTCAACTGTTAAGAGAAAATACATGCATTTTTACTGAAGTTGTTTCGTTATTGTTTAATAATTTAAAATAAAATTTAAAAAAATACTAAGTTCAAAATTTTAATATACATAATTTATATTGCTATACATTCATTGATTATTTATTGTAAGAGTTCAAAAAAAAATTTTAATCATTCAGGAATTTAAAATTATAGTTTGTACTACAATACCTCGCTGCATGCATTTATAATCAACCATTGTTTTGGTTATTTGTGGCAAAAATAAAGAGTAATAAAAGTTTTTATCATTTTTTAATTGAAACAATGAACACGATGTAATAATAGTAGATATGATATCAACGGTTCTGTTATGGTACCTTTGGTTTGATGTGCAATATTTACTCAAATTTATGCTTTGTTTTCACTGATGGTGATAATGTCTCAGAAATTCCGATAA